CAGAAGAGTGCGAAATTCAATGATGCGGCGGCTAGACGGTTGTATTGAAGCCGAAGGAGGCCATTTCCAACACTTAATTCAGTGCAATTCGTTAGCTTAGATGTTAATGTTATTCAAAATTTGTTGTTTCTCGAATGTGATTAAGTGTGAACCACAATAACTCCTTGCAGGTTGCGGTGGAGGGTCGAATAGTCCCACTCACTTTGTACCTGACCTAACCACTGCAACTCTTGAAGAGATCAAATGGAATCTTACCTGTTCCTCTTCTCCGCTACTTCCCCTAAATAGTTAGGCAGTACCGTGAAACACCCTCCTAGAGTCACACCCACAACGAATCTAGCAACGTAGAATACCTCCACCGTGGTAGAGAACGCCATCATCAGGTAAGATATCAGAAACGGTACTCCAAACGACAGAATGGTGAATTTCCTTCCAAACTTATTCGTCATCCAACCGAAGAGGAAAGGCCCCACTGAAGCCCCTATTGGTACCAAGGAGGAAATCCAAGTGACTTCGGATGTGGAGATGTCTCTTCCGAATGGATTGGTAGTGCAGTTGGTGAGTTTTGGCATTGACGGGGATGACCAGGAAAGAGAAATTCCGTTGATTATCATCAGGATAGAAGCTGGAATGTAGATACAGATGAAAGAGTTTGATAATAGGAGTGTTATGGCACAAAAATAATGGCATCACAAGCAGGGGGTTCTTGAATGTTCATATAGTATGTTTATGAGGGCATACACATCTTATTGGTGTAGTTTGTCGGGTGGAAAATACTAATGGCATTGGTATAACCAATTTCCCAGTCTATTTCAATATATTAAATTTCTTCTATATTTCAATATTTTTAAGATGCTCAGTACACTCTTCCTTGCTCCTTTCTCTTTCTCATGGATATGCCTCATTTCTTGGGTCTTAACTTCGAGTTGATACAGCATCTCCTTTGTCGACTCAACTACTCCAAACAAGTTGAATAAGATTGAAATAGCAGCAACTTTGTTCTACTCCAACAGCTCTGATGACCAGATCTGTCGCAGTTTGTGCTGATACTTGCTGCGGAGGGAGTTCCTTACTGCTGTTACCTCTTGCGAGTGACTTTGATCCACCCCGAGGTGAGTATGCGTATCTCTGGCATCTAGATGGTGCTTCCATCTACGAGCTGCACATCCTCTCCGTAGTCCCGAATTTCATAGCGATAGCATTCGTGTACTCTTCCACCATTCGCAAGGACTGATGGAGATATTTTTCTTCAGAGGCCTAAAGTTCAGGATCATCCACATAAAACAAATGGTTGACCTTAAGCCTCTGGTTTTACTGAGTGCAACAGATGATGGCGATAGTGAGGTGCATGGAAGTAAGCGACTAAGGGAGTCGCCCTGAAATACACCCCTTCTGAAATATACCCCCTCTGTTTGGACTCTACCCTGAGCAGATGTTATGGTGGAGCGAGTTGGCCTGAGTGGAATCAGTTCTTCAAGGAATATCACTATTGCAAGGCATCTGAGCAAATGCAAAATGAGCTCATCCGATGTTGTTTCAAATAATGGATCCAAGCCATAGAGAGGTTAGGCTTCAACTGCATAGAGTCCTGTGTTACACATCTATCGATGATCAGGTTCTCTCTACACCCAGCAACTCCTCTCTTCGATCCTCGGTCAACTGCGGTGAGTATTCGAGTGGACGAAACACAAGCACTACAGGAAAATCCTCAGGGCGCTCTGAGAGCGATGTCTGTGCGAAAGTAGCGATTCACGTTGGATTTGAATCGCTGGAGAATAAATCCATTCAGAAAAAAAGTTCTCAAGAAGTGTATTCCATATAAACGCCGTTCTTGAAATGAAAGAATTTTTAAACAGTGAAGTTCGAGGTGTACTGAGTTGAACCTCGAAACTATGAGCAGCCACAAATAAACAATAATTTGGACTTGAGTGAACATAGGCATAGTAGGTAGTAGCTTAATAAAATATTTATGGGGACAGAACTTCTGAGATTCCAAATAACGAAACACTGCTTGGATGATTATATAGAAATAGAGTCAATATCATCATTTAAGGATAATTAGGAGTCAATGTTCAACCTTAAGAATTTGACTGACTTTTTCTGCACAATAGATTTAGTATTAGCCCTAACCAATAAACTGCAGTCCATTTCTCTAAGCGAGAAAACAATGGTATTAGATTTATTACTATTAAGTACGAGGCTGTTTCTGGCGCAATAATTAAGCATATTAGCAACTGCAATATAAGCCTGGTCAGATAACCCTTCACAAGAAGAAGAACTCAATAAGAAGGACGTATCATCAGCAAACTGTACAGTACAATGTTGTTGATTAATATTGGAGATGTCGTTGACGAATAAGAGAAAGAGAGTAGGACCCAGGACACTACCTTGGGGAACACCTGTTAATATGATATGATTTTCAGAATGATATATTCCAGATTTGAGCCTAACCTTAACAGATTGTTATCTGCCAGTCATATAAGTCTTAATCCATTTTAGACTTTGGCCGCGAGTTCCAGTATTCCAGAGTACTGCTCTGTTTCATTTAAATTATTCATCATATTCAAAATTCCTCGCTCCAAAACAACTTTGCCCATTCTCAAGCATCAACAAGGAAATATGTTATAAGTCAACTTTAATTATTCGCGTATGGAGATAGCTTGCATGGGTCAAAATAACTCGGAATTCCCGCTTAATCAAAGTACCTACAACATTGAACAACTGCTTAGAATAACAATCCGAAACATATTTATAGTAGTCGTCCATGAATTACGTAAATGAAAGAGGAGCAAACAATTCGGCGAGTTTAGAAAATACTTCTTGAATCTAAACATCAAAATTACACTATAGAAACCATTGAAATTTCATGATACTGAAATTATTCAATACGTATATATTTTGCATGAAAATTTTTGCTCTGATTGGCATCAGACATCAATTTTAGTGACATTTTTCGATCACAGAAGTGATATTTTCAATGCCAAGGCATTAAAAATTTTCATTATAATAATAATAATAATATATTTCCATAAACATGATTGTGTAATACAATAAATGTATAAATAAATAAATGAATAAATACATGATAAATATAACAATNAGTGTCGAGGTGTTAAAAATAACGATTTGGTGTTGGGAAAAAACTCCAGTAATATTTCAACACGTGCAAATAATTAAATTGTTTTATCAAAATGAGCGTTCTGTTCGAGCAACTTATAGCCATACGGTCGCCATACGGTCGCCATACGGTCGCCATAATCGTCCTATCGAGAGAACTATTCGCAATGTGGAGGATAAATTTGAGTTCACTGGTTCAGTGAACGATGCACCAATACCCATACGTTGGCGAAACGCACGATCTACCAAAAACATCGCCACTGTCTTTGAGAGTGTGCGGAAGTCTCCCAGGCAGTCGATTTCGCGTTGCTCTCGAGAACTCAGCCTTTCGCAGACCACAACTTGGCAAATTTCGCGTCATTATTTGTGCCTGCCCCCGTACAAATTTCAACTGACTCAGGAACTGAAGGTAAACTGATTAACGGAGAAACAGATTTTAAACAGAAACGATCATAAACAACGACGTGTGTTCGCTGAATGTGTTCTGGAGCAGTTGGCCACTGACCCTAATTTTCATCGAGAAATCATTTTCAGCGACGAGGCCCATTTCTGGATAAATGAGTACGCGAACAAACAATATTGTCGAATTTGGAGCGATACCAATCCACATGAGATCCAATAGTATTCAATATATGACCAGAAATGGCCACAATCTTCTTATACCACAAGATCGACTGGCAATTACTCATAAAAGCTTTTTTACTATGGCAATAAGGCTCTTCAACCATCTACCACCATATGAGGGAATTACATATGATTAAATTCAAAATAAGTATGAAAGGACTGCTGGTTAATCTCTGCCCTTATGACGTTAGTGAATTTTTCAACTGCAAGTTTTAATGCTTTGCATTTTTAATGTGTATTTTTGTGTATGTTTAATGTGTATGTTTTGTACTTATGATGCACTGTTTGGAACCTTTGGTGTAGTAATCAATATTACTGGAGTTTTTTCCCAACACCAAATCGTTATTTTTACACCTCGACAAGTATTTCGATCACCAAGTGATCATCTTCAAAGAGGAAAATTAAAACTTATTCTTCCTGAATGAGGGGCAGTTCATCATTGATACACCCTGTTAATACATATTAACTAACTTTCTAGAAAGAATAGTTTGATGCACCAGTAACTGATGGAGATTATATGTAGCGAAACGCTTTGAAAATAAAATTAATTGTAAAAATTCTACACTGTTTTACCTTATATTTTTTCAATTATCCAATCAGTGTTTATTTTTACTAGTAATTGAATAATCATGTACACTCCATAAACGTTTTTGTTTTGTGAACTGTTGAACAGCTATTACATTTTGTTTTAATCTCTCTGACCGACAATTAGCAATCAATATTTTACGTCTCACCTGCAGACATTGAGAGATAAACTTTATTCACTTGTGGAAAAAACATCTTCGACTTATGAATGCACAGAATGACTGATTGATAAACTAAAGAGCACTGGTTTAACACCTCATTCTGATTCAGGTTTTAGCACATCAGCGGAAAGCTGCTAAACGGCTTTTGAAATTATGACAACAATCATCGAAGACGCGAATTCGAGAAATGTTAATCGATATTTGAACTTTCATTTGCGGAAGGGGAAGAATAATAAAGGAAGTAGATAGTGCAAATGCGAATTTGCATTCAGTTTCGAATAATGTGAGGCATAATTGATATATTCTACTTTCATTTGATTGTTGGATGCTCTGCAATAAAAATAACAAACACGAAAAATAAGAGGGAATATTCAAAACCAGTTACAAACAAACTGGCTGTCATGTCAGTTTATTCACATATAATTACAAAATTTACTCACAGATTATTTACTTTCTATTCGTTTTCCTCTCATTACCTTTCCTCATCATTCTATCATTTTTTTTTTATTTCTGCTCTGATTCAGATGCAGAATAAGTGAAAAAATAGTAGGCATATGGTTCACAGTTCTGTCAATTTTCTCGTTGATATTATAATTTCCTGCATATGCAATTGGCAATACAAGTGAAAGAGTCGACCTTCAATTTTTGAACAAACCGGTTTCGGGCTCCTTAGCCACTCGTCAAGAAGTGCCACTGACGAAGGTTCGTCAGACCACAACCCCATCCTGTTTACAATAGAAGGAGGTGAAGTGGAAACAGACAACCCAACAAAGCGAGTCTTCGACTGGATGAGATTCCAGCGCGCCATACACGATGCGATGGGTGAGATACCACGCATCGAAACAAGAACGGAGCTGGAGAACGCCACACACCAGCTGCAAGTCGATGATTCTAACGATGGAAAGAAGCGCGCGGGAAGTCCCAGTCCCGCGCTATAACTTCCAAAAGCATCTTCCACCAGAAACGAAGGAATTGATCAGGATAAGAAGACGCCTGAAAAGACAATACCAAAGGACACGTGCACCTATGGACAAAAGGTGTATGCAGAGAGCCAACAGGATATTGAAAGAAGAACTGAAAGCTATCCGAGGTAGACAATGGACTACCCGTCTGGAAAAACTGAATACTGAGGACCAGTCTGCATGGAGAATGCTATACTCAGGTTGCAGCACTTCCCGTAACCGTTCAAAGAGGCAACGGTTATCCACATCCCGAAGCCCAAGAAGAACCACTTGTTCCCAGACAATCATAGGCCAATTAGCTTACTGCCTTCCATAAGCAAAGTGGCGGAACGTGTCATCCTGAAGAGACTCGAAGAACAAACCAGAGAACTAGGAATCCTCCCGGACGAACAATTCGGTTTTAGATCAGAACACTCAACAGAGCTACAAGTCCTGAGGGTAGTAGACTTTGCGACCGAAGGCTTCAACCTCGGCAAAGCACACAATACCGGAGCTATCTTCTTAGACGTCTCCAAGGCGTTCGACAGAGTTTGGCATGAGTACTTGCCTAGATGAGCGATTTTGGATACACAAAACCAATGGTAAAATTAATTCAGTCTTTTCTAGCTGACAGGCGATGTCGTTGCAGAGTAGGAGACGAATCATCAACAGTTCGACCACTGGAAGGAGGGGTCCCGCAAGGAGCAGTCCTTTCGCCACACCTCTCCTCCGTATACACAGCGGACGTGTCCAAGCCAGAGAACAACAAGTTGTCGCTCTACGCAGCCCTACTGGCGAGATCATCAAGCCAAGCGCATGTCACGAGATATATGCAGCAACAGGCAGACATATTAGAGGAGTGGGCCAACCTGTGGAAGATCAGTATAAACCCTGACAAGAGTCAGGCCATACTGTTCACTCGCAGGCGTGTACAACCGGAAGGCAACGTCACCTTCAACGGACTAGAGATTCCGTGGACCAACAAAGCGACATACCTGGGGGTCACCTTCGACAGGAGATTGACATTTCAGTCTCATGTACGGCAGAGAATTGGAATGGCCAGACACGCCACGACTGGCACCAATCATAGCAGACGCAACATGGGGTTGAAAGTGAAGTTGCTGATGATCAAAACGGTTCTCATGCCCATAACACTTTACGCCTGCACTGCCTGGGGCCAGTGCGCACAGACATACAGGAAGAAGATACAGTCGTTCATGAACGCGAGCGTAAGAGCTGCCGTGAACGCATCGTACTACATCCCCAACAGATTTATATACAGAGACTTAGACCTGAACACGCAAAATGTGGACGTGTATATGAGAGAACACGCGTTGAATATGGATGACCCCAGATTCCGAGAAAGGGACAAACACCCAATGCTAGACATTATTGAGAAAACGATTCAGGTATAGGGACGTGATATATCATCTCGAAGCATTTTTCACCATCTTTCAATTTACCGAGTAATATACAGGGGGTTTCATTTGAAAAAATGAACTTTTGACTACTTTTATGCACAATGGAAATAATAGTAATTTTAGCACGCCCTGTATGATATGAATTCGATTTCTTGGTGTTTTTTGAATATTTCGAGTTTGTCCAAACTATTATCAAAATATCAACTTTTCATGAGTTGAAAGTACTGATGTACTGAATTTCAATTAGGGCTATGTTTTGGACCATATTTAGCACAATTTATTTTTTATCTCGAAAACAGATAGAGATAGGTATAGAACATTATTTACAAAAAAGTATTAAAATACCAGAGCGATTCCAAAAATGTATTAATATATGGGGTGTTCCATTTAAAAACATAAAGTTGCTAGGATATTTTCATGGAAGTGGCAACGCCGCAATGCTGAAAATATTTTAGATCGATAGAACAGGTAAGGAAATGTGAGAGGTGAAATTTTCAGAAAAATCATGCTTTGCGTTTTCCAGAAACGTCTAACCTACCATCGACCGTGAGTTACGCTGTATAGTCTTTATGACTTTAGCCTCCCCTGTTCTCTAATGCACGAACCGTCACTGGTGCTTACGATTCACGGTTGAAAGTTGAGAACTTCAAACGCAGGTCACCTTTTACACTGAGCCTATTTCTATATTTATTTTTCAAATATACCAAAGTAGAGAATGCCCTCTCACACAAATATGTGTTGATTGAAAACACCACCAGCTCTTTTGAGGCTATGCTCGAAAGAACTGGATACTCTCCTCTAGCCTTTATCTAAAATGGGAAAAACAATTCAAAAGTATTGTGTTTTTAATATGTTTTTGCGGCCCACCCAAATTGCTCCCGCGACCCACCAGTGGGTCGGGACCCATAGTTTGGGAACCACTGGCCTATACGGAATTTTACCAAATATTTTCCATAAACGTGACTAGGAATTATAAAAATATTAGCAATACTCACGTATACTAAGTATAACTCACGTATACTAAGTATACGAAAAAATCAAATAATGATCGCGGGGCAATCTTTCTGTATTTTTCATGGATTATATTGGAATCATCATAAATATTTTACCTCTAAGCCTATAAAGAACTTCTCTGGCCATGTCAACTTCATTCCTGCTCAAATGATAGTGGGCACATTCCTCTCCAACTAAAGAGAATATCACCAAAAATGAGGCCGGAAGAAATGCTATTATGAGGTTGAACACCATCACACTGACATAGGGTCCTACACAGTAGGAAAAGAACAGTCCAATTGCAACTGCTATCCCCATACAAGAACCCAACGCTCCTCTGAAACAAAAAATCTGTGATGGAATTGGACGATACTTGATAGAGATCCATAACTTATTCAAATCACACTTTGTTGTGATATTTTTCACTGGATTGTTCACAAAACTACAGCACTTGTTTTGATATGCAATATTTTCCTATACATATTTCAGTTACTCAATTTGTGCTTTATACAGGGTGTTCATTGAATATGTACCATAAATTCAACAGACGATTTTTTAGGTAATTTCAAGACGAAATGTTCATATAAACATGGGTCCGCAAATCCTCCGTTCTCAAGATACAGAGTGTTGAAATAAAAAAAAAAGTTATTCGTAAATATCTTAAATATCCTTTACCTAATTTCGTTGTAATTTGACAATGGTATATATAACATTAAGGAGCTGATTCAGCCCGAACGTGATTCAATTAATTAAGTCCAGTGGCGTCTCGAGCAGAATTTGAACGAATATGTTTTACTTAAAATTGTGCGCCACTGACTTTATTGCAATTTTTTATTATCTCACTGGATTGAGCAATTAGAAATACAACTTTTTTGTCTCGTGATTTTTTTTGTATCTTGCTTGGTTTTTAAGAAAAAAAGTCGACCTAATTGGACCTCACAAGGAATAATATGGGGAATTAAATGTTTCTTTCGGAAATTATTATTATTATAATTTTTCATTACTAATTATGTATATTACTGGAGTTTTTTCCCAACACCAAATCGTTATTTTTAACACCTGGACACGTGTTTCGATCACCAAGTGATCATCTTCAAAGAGGAAGATTAAATCCAGTTTCAACCTTCCTCTTTGAAGATGATCACTTGGTGATCGAAACACGTGACGAGGTGTTAAAAATAACGATTTGATGTTGGAATATTCATTACTACACCAAAGGTTCCAAACAGTGCATCATAAGTACTAATTATGTAACAATAACAACAAATATTGAATAACATCAACATCTAGACTAACGAATTGCTCTAAATTAAGTGTTGGAAATGGCCTCCTCTGGCTTTAATACTAAAATTTGTTACCTGTTAGTATATCAGGACTAACCAAACTAGACAAGGTATCAATTTTCTTTTCCTGAGGATGCTAACTTTGTTGGCGAAACGCGCGTCGAGTGCGTCAGTTTGGTGTTAGGGCAATTGATCTCGAAAAAAGTTATTCAACTTTCACACCAAAGGTTCCAATCTCATCGTTAACCATAAATAATAATGAAGGGTTGCCTTGGAAAACGATTGCAGCATTTAATAAACAACTTGACAGTTGTTGTCAACTTCATAAGCTTCTAATTTATAATTGTTATGAAAAGTGTGTTTAGTGTTTATTTTTCGAACCATTTTTGTGAGACATGGTTCAATTTCATTTACCATGAAAGATTTCTTCAGCGTGTAGTACCTAATAGAAGAACTGTTGTACGTCTCCATGCACGACTTTCTGAAACAGACAGCTTTAAAAGATCGACGGTTGTCATTGGGAGGCCTGCAACGGTACGAACAATTCGAATTGAAGAAGCTGTTTTGAGTGAGATCGAAAAAAATCCTCATACCAGTACTCGGAAAATAGCTGAGGAACTAAATATTACCCATGTCACGGTGTAGCAGATTTTATGAGCCCAGCAGCTATATTTCATCACATGCAACGTGTGCAAGCTCTATTGCCCAGAGACTTGCCTGTAAGACTAGCTTTTTCTAATTGGTTACGCGGTAAAATAAGAAGAAATCCAGGTTTCCTAAGTCGGATATTGTTTACAGATGAAGCTTCTTTTTCTCGCAATTTAATTATTAACTTCCACAACAATCACATTTGGGCCAAAAATAATCCACACGCCTTGGTAGAAAATAATTTTCAAGAACAGTTTTATTTCAATATTTGAGTTGGAATTGTCGGTGACCATCTCATTGGGCCTTCCACCTAGACTTGATGGAGAAGAATACCGAAGGTTTTTAGAATTTATTTCACCTGTACTTTTAAAGGAAGTTCCAGTCATAGAAAGATACCGTATGCGGTACATGCACTTGCCACCACACTTTATTGTAGTGGCACGGCAATTTTTTGATGAAAATTACCATAATCGCTGGATTGGGAGACCAGGCCCACACCCATGGCCACCTCGCTCGCCCGAAATGAATCCCTCAGATTATTTTTTCTGGGGACACCTTAAAGCGTTGGTATAGAAAACTGTTATTCAAAGTGAAGAGGATTTACGGAATAAAATCATCAATTCATGTGACAGGTATTTTCAGAATAGTGCGAAATTCAATGATGCGGCGGCTAGACGGTTGTATTGAAGCCGAAGGAGGCCATTTCCAACACTTAATTCAGTGCAATTCGTTAGTTCAGATGTTAATGTTATTCAAAATTTGTTGTTTGTCGAATGTGATTAAGTGTGAACCACAATAACTCCTTGCGGGTTGCGGTGGAGGGTCGAATAGGCCCACTCACTTTGTACCTGACCTAACCACTGCAACTCTTGAAGAAATCAAATGGAATCTTACCTGTTCCTCTTCTCCGCTACTTCCCCTAAATAGTTAGGCAGTACCGTGAAACACCCTCCTAGAGTCACCCCCACAACGAATCTAGCAACGTAGAATAACTCCACCGTGGTAGAGAACGCCATCATCAGGTAAGATATCAGAAACGGTACTCCAAACGACAGAATGGTGAATTTCCTTCCAAACTTATTCGTCATCCAACCGAAGAGGAAAGGCCCCACTGAAGCCCCTATTGGTACCAAGGAGGAAATCCAAGTGACTTCGGATGTGGAGATATCTCTTCCAAATGGATTGGTAGTGCAGTTGGTGAGTTTTGGCATTGACGGGGATGACCAGGAAAGAGAAATTCCGTTGATTATCATCAGGATAGAAGCTGGAATATAGATATAGATGGATGAGTTTGATAATAGGAGTGTTATGGCATTGATAATGGCACAAAAGTAATGTCATTAACACATGGATCAATAAGTCCCGAGACTAACAATGAAAACAACATTTTTTTTACAAACTTTTTTTTTTATTCATCAACATAATCTCCTTTTAGGGTGATACAATGGTTCCAACGCTTTTCCAATTTTTCAATACCATGTTTATAAAAAAACGTATCTTTCGCTTCAAAATAAGTTTCAGTAAACTACAAAACGACTTTACTCTAACCTCGATAACTCAGCTGTTTCTGGTCCGATCGACTTAAAATTTCGACACGTTTCAAGCAAAGGTTAGTACTCTAGAAAGACGTGGTTACTGGTTTACTAAGAGCGCCATCTCTGGGTTAGTCTCGGGACTTATTGATCCATGTAGTACAAGCAGGAGGTTCTTGAATGTTCATATAGTATGTCTGTAAGGGAGGGGCTCTGACAAACCCGAAGGTGACATCAAAACTGGTCTGGAAATGCCTTGAAGAACTGAATGAACTTGCAAACAGGAACAAATTAACTTTGTACTGGGTGCCAGGGCATTCAGGAATCACAGGTAATGAAAAAGCTGATGAATGCGCTAGACGCGGGTCATCAACTTCATGTATGAGTCCCGAACTAGCTTTGGGGGTACCAAAATCATTGGTACGAAACCAGATTAGGACATGGACCAATAAGAAGCACACAGAGTACTGGACAAAAGTACCTGGCAACATACACAGTAGAACCTTCATTAGGGAACCGTCAGAGAAAAGAACCGAAGAACTACTTCAGTATAGTAGCGATCGGCTCAGAATAATTACAGGGTTACTAACCGGTCATTGTCCGCTTAGAGGACACCTGAATGAAATGGGGCTGTACAACGGAGACCTCAGCTGCATATTGTGCAACGAAGGGATAGAAGTAGCTCTACACATCTTATGCGAATGTGAGGCACTGAATCACAGAGGAGGCAGGCAATAAAGGACGTACAAAATTACGTCCAGAAGAGTATGACGAACATCTAACACGGAACCTGTACAAACTAGTACAGGGAACGAGACATGTCAATATGTTGAATTTCTTCTATATTTCAATATTTTCAGGATGCTCACTAGACGCTTCCCTGCTTCTTTCTCTCTCTCCCTCATAGATATTCCTCATTTCTTGGGTCTTAACTTCGAGTTGATACAGCTTCTCCTGTGTCTTTGCAACTTTGTTCTACCCAAACAGTTCCAATGAACAGATCTGTCGCAGTTTGTGCTGATACTTGCCGCAGAGAGAGTTCTTTACTGCTGTAACCTCTTGCGAGCGACCTTGTTCCACTCCGAGGTGAGTATGCGTCTCTCTTGCATCCAGATGGTGCTTCCATCTACGAGCTACACGTCCTCTCCGTAGTCCCGAATTTGTTCATCCCGAATTTCATAGCGATGGCATTCGTATACTCTTCCACCATCCGCAAGGACTGATGGGGATATTTTTCTTCAGAGGCCTGAAGTTCAGGATCACCCAAACAAATGGGTGACCTTAAGCCTTCGGTTTTACTGAGCAACGGATGATGGCGATAGTGAGGTGCATGAAAATAAGCGACTAAGGGACTCGCTCTGAAATACACCCCTTCTGAAATTGATCCCCTCTGTTTGGACTCTACCCTGACCAGATGTTATGGTGAGAATTCGAGAGGACGAAACACAAGCACTACAGGAAAATCCTCAGGTCGCTCTGAGAGCGATGTCTGTGCGAAAGTAGCGATTCACATTGGATTTGAATCGCTCGAGAATAAATCCATTTAGAAAAACCATTCTCATGAAGTGTATTCCATAAACGCCGTTCTTGAAATGAAAGAATTTTCAAACAGTGAAGTTCGTGGTGTACTGAGTTGAACCTCGAAACTATGAGCAGCCACAATCCGTGACGTATTTCTGATATATACAATACAATACTTTATTTTTCCTGAGACCTTTTTACAAGCATGGAAATCGTCATATACACAGTAAAGATTAAAGTTGAAAAATATCAAGGGATAAAATATGGAACATACATAAGAAAATATATAAGTCAATAGTAGATGTAGGAGATAATTATATAAAACAATATATAAAAAACATAGTATAAACAGTAGAATAGCAAACAAGCAAACAATCGTGATGTCAAGCAGCCAGATCAGTTTGAAAATGTTCATCAAGTGAATGAAAGGCATTTTTGTAGAGAAAATTTTCAACGCTATTTTTGAAATTAATGGGATTTGAAATTTTCTTGATGAATGTTGGAAGTTTATTAAATATTTTTATAGACATAACATGACGTCCGTTTGATACAGATGTTAATTTGTGTACAGAAACTATCAGATTATAATTTTGC